ACCCGTCGCCAGATGTTATAACTTGAAAAAGCTTATTTTTCTTGATACAACCGCGTATAACTGAGCACTAGAACACCAAACCCTTCCAAGTCGCAATAAGAAGACAGAAGACTAACGAAAGGAATATTATTCCACACAGTGTCGAACATAGTACAAAATTGTCAGGTATTTATAGTTTTTAGTGAGAACGAAATCATCATAACAGTCTTCCAATCCGCGTAGAGGGAGTTATTAGCATTATCCAATGGGGAAGCTACACGTTGGAATTCTAGAACATTCTTCCGAAAGGTGATTGGATGGAACGTCTTCGGCTCCTTATGAGCCTCTTACAGCTTCCTCGTGTTCACCGGTGGTCCGTCGTCACAGTTTTCGAATGGACTTGTAAAGTATCTCAGGTTCTCGGTGTCGCTTACTTACCATTTACACTCCAATCCTAAATCATGATGCCAAATCTAAATCCCAACACCAAAGTGTCCAATGATTCTGTAGTTATTATCGTGGGCGGAAACGCTTTCTAGGGTCAAAATATTCACATCACGGTCAATGGATCCTACCTCCCATACATAACGCTCGGCCTTTTTTCAGACTTGCATCTAGCTTGAGAGTACGTTGTGTGCAGGGGACTAAGGAGAGTAGTATGTGAAAGAACCAGGAGGCGAAAATGACAGGAGAATAAGTGGGTCGTCGACTCAATTGGCACGCAGAATGCACCTACATTTACGAATGGAAGACGTCGACAACAACCAGGAATAACACAAGCGTGAGACTAAGAGAATCTGGTAACCGAATAAGGAATTCGATGGCATAAATTTTCAAATGCATTACATATGCTGTTTTGATATGTTTTCTTAACCGAATAGGGTTTATGATTACAAGCTGATGAGCCTGGAAAAAGAGGAGAATAAATGTATGAAGAATCAAACATATTTTTATTACATTTTCTAAGCTTAAAATATCGTATGTGATTTGATTACCAGTCTTAACTCTTCATGATGAATGGAAAAACAAGGTGGAACTGTTTTAGAAGTAGTCGGAGTGAACTCATGATTCTGAAATGGTTGGGAGAATTCGAATTATTATGCGGACTTGGAATCTCCGAAATCACTTAAGTCAAGTAGAACTAGCTGTGCACAAACAAACGTACTATATTTGGAATGCAAAATCAAGCACACACAAAATACAAAAGAATTATCAGTTCATACAAACAGCACGGGTTCACATCTTCAAACGACTATGATTACCTATGAGAAAAAGCACAGAACCACTAGCAACATAAAAGAGACATATACAGTACACGACCTTACTCAGTTTTACATTTGCTCTGAACAGAGTAGATTCATATGGGTCGAAACTAAAAGCACTTGATATATATTAGCCATGCGTGCCAGAACTTTCTACACAGTGATGGCTTAACATTAAGATGGGTAGGATGTACTAGATAGATAGTGCATTGGCGATGCATTAAATAGTTTGTCAGAATTGCCGACTGTAACCTCAACTAATAGCAAGAGGAATTACGGTAAAATGACCTAAATAGTTCAGACTTTGGCGTCTTTATGCATCGAAAATGGCGTAATGAGATATTGTGATTTGTCAAAAGTTATAAACAGGTTTAATTTGTCTGATATGATTTGATGATCCTCGTATCCTGTGTTGAAACCCTGTTCACCGATTCTGATTCTCCTTTAGACTACTGTTGAGTAGTTGTGAAATGAATAAACGATTGTTTTTAAATAAATTCACTACAACTGGCTGTAGCCAATAATAAATACTAACGTTTTTAAACCCCAAAATCATGTTCAAATAAAACTGCTAAATACATTTTTCATATTTGATAGAAATGAATCTGGAACAGTCAGTTGGGCCTACCGTTGATAATCTATTCAATTCTCCTGTATCTGAACCTGGTCCTACAAAAATACCTTCTGTAATTGGAACTAGGAAACCGAATACTACACGGGTAATTTCACCATAATACATAAATATGAATAACTTGTCTTATTGTAAATGCAGGCTAGTAAAAATTGTATTTTAAAACAAAAGTATGCGATATCAATCAGTTTATTTACCTGAATCTCCCGGTTGCTTATTGAATGAAATTAAAAATCGGTCTGTAACAAAAATAACTCTGCCATATATTACTTCTATATTCAGTCCTCTTGTTCTCACGAGTTTTACTAGCAGCTTATTGTCATCCACTTTATTTAATCACGTAACATTAACTTTTTTATTGTACGCCTTGATTACCAAGGTGTTTGGTGTACAACTCAATAAATGGATGGTAATAAAGATAAATTGTATTGAATTCTACTACTAGCCAAAACTAAATAGTGTATTATCAAGAATCCAGTCTCACTATTTGCCTACCAAATTTTCTTTCTCCACAGTTCAAAAGAGCTAGAATTTCGGTAACATTTATTTATCCTCTCATGTCCTCAATATAACAAACATTTATGCATCAATTTTTAAATTTATAAGATCCGTCTCATTATACTGTTTGTATAACATTTTGCAGTCATGTCTATATTACTCCGAAACAGTAACGTTGATTCTTTAAAGTTGGTCCTTTGACATTTATCAGATTCATACTTGGGTATTATTTACTTAAAGTGCACTCAGAAGACAGTACTTAAATCTACAAACTTAGTTTATTCTAATAACTTGGATATATTATTAACTACTTGTTCCGTTGTCGGCTTGATTCACGATGGTACTCGTCACAGATTGACCTCAATTAGGGTACCGCGAAACCATAAGATTTTGTATTTGACCCCGAGTGGGATCGTAAGTGAACACTGGCGGTGTTCCATACTTCAACAAACGAACCCCCTGATTTCTAATAGTGCTTCAACTGAGGTTAATCTATAACGATTAATACCTTCAGACTAAACTGATTTCCACAAGACCCACTTAAAATAATGGATTTCCCAACACCCTCTTGCTTGAACTAGTCATATCTGGACTTTTGTAGGCTGGACCTTAGTCGTTTTACCCTACATCTTTCCCTATCGTTTCACTTCCGTTCTATCCATTCATTTTAATAATTCTTTGAGTTGCCTAGTTAAATCCTAGCCCATAACATTTGGTGCACCCTCCACAAATTTTAAACATTTCCCAGATATTGACTAGTGGTTGAATATGTTTACCAACTGCTAACCTTAATCCATCTGTTTCAAGCCAGTGAGTTTTCAAAAACCCAAGATGTGTATTTGATTAGCCTTCTTTCCGTTGTAGTTCAAAGCTTTGCAGTTACAAGTTAATATTTTATAGAAATCATTGCCATCAATCATCTACCAACCGTTCTTCATTTAAATAGGTTATTGAAGACCTATTATAAACATAAACTACACGGAATTTCCTACGTATCTCTGTTCTTTGTAAACATGTCGCTAGTCAAACATTTTCAACGAATAGCCTGTTAAAACTATTATCATCGTTATCCATTTTAGCTTTCATGGGGTCAGTTCTCGCTTTATTAACAGTTTCAGAATACAATGGATTCCATATGTAAGGTGTTTGTTAATTGTTGCGCTCAGAGAAATTGTGATCGATTTTAATTCTATGAAATTAGCAGTTCACCACCTCATAGTTAATAATCTGATTCATAGTCCTGTGTATCTTAAGAATGTACTAACTGGTTATCACGTGTTAACTATTTATGGTTATACAAAGATCAAGTAAAAGTAATACTTGAAAGCTCCAAAGTCCTGTTCTAGTCAGTTGATGTTTTGAAAAACTAAACAAACTGAGAAAATGTTGCGTGAGTGAATACGTAGTAATATATGCAAGCACCGTCATAATAATGACTCGATAATTTAAAGTCACGACACTTCTTACTAAAGATGTCTGTTCGATATGGGACGACATTCCGAATTATTTGGGATTGGTAATAGACGGCTGATTAAGGCAGTTAAATATAAATAGACGAAACAGCTAGATTGACCAATGTTCATACGTTCATACTAAATTAAGTGTGCTATTCCTTCTGGGGTACTGTCTGCTGTCGCTCACAAGATTTCTGCATTATGTGTTCCATTCAACTGATTGTTCAACAGTGGTTCGCATTGCCGCAATTTGGTCGGCACATGATCTCCTCTTGCCAAAACCAGCTCGTTAATCTCGAAGTTCGGTGTCTTCTAAATCTTACATTCTGTTCAGCAGCAATCTGCCAAAACGGCCTGATACTGAGAGTAGTGTGCATAATCCTTCTGTAATTCTCACACCTAATTCAGTGAACGACTATTTTATTGTTTGATGCGCAATCACACAATGGTTTAGCAGAATGTGAAAATCATACATCAAGTGCATTATTTGCACATCTTCGAATTGTCTCTTACAAACTTCATTGTTCCTTTTCTCTTCTCTTCATTTCGATCTTCTCAACCTTCGTCTTGCAGCCACTCCACTTCCGATTGTTGTTACGTACTACTTATACCTGCAAACATACGTATCATACACCACACTAAGATCCCCTTATTTTGGTATCTTGACGAGGAATACTTTTCAATTTTTTATTACTCGTTCTTCCCCCACAAATCCTTTTCAAGAGAACGTAGAACATATTTACAGTTGCCCCTTCATCTAACATTAGTGCTTCAACTGATATGCTGTTTGGTTCTACTACTCTGCCAATAATTGTTTGTCTGACGGCTTTATTGTTAGCGGGGTATCATCCATAGGGAGATATGCCTATGTTTCTTCCAAGTTCTGTGATTTTGGCGGCGCGGGTCCGTTTATAGGATTTTCAATGTGCTCTACTCACCAGTCCCACCATTCTTGACCCTCGGTAATTGGTTTGTTTTTCTTTGTTCCTGACTGATCGCTCTGGTCCATATTTTCCTGCAAGCCTGTTGGTGGTATAACATAGTTCTCTTATTTATTAACACCCTAAAGGCCCTATATGCAAACACCTCAGGCAGAGTGAGGGCATACAACCACCTCTCTCCATTCGAGCAGTGGGTTTAGGCAGGGTTGCCCAACCTCACCATTCCTCTTCAACCTTATCAAGTAGACGAATCGATATTAGATATTGGAAGCGCCGCGTTATTTCGAGTGCGCGTCACATTTGTCCACGTATATTGTTTCGTGCTGTTGCGGGACGAAATGGTCTCTGTATCGCCAACAAAACATGAAATAGTTACAATTTTAAATAAGCTTAAGTCTTTGCCGTGCAACAAGGTACTTTCTGTCATTGCTTCATGATATTTTGTACAGCAATGCTTTGACTGTGGTGCCACAAATCCAACATGGGCTAGTGTTACCTACGGTGTTTTTCTTTGTATTGACTGTTCGGCAGTCCACCGTTCACTTGGAGTCCATCTAAGTTTCATTCGATCGACTCAGCTAGATACTAACTGGACTTGGGTCCAGTTGCGCGCAATGCAAGTTGGTGGCAATCAAAATGCGGTAAACATGAATCTCCTACTAATATTTTGTAGCTTACTTTCTTCTCCCAAAATAATTGTCGTTCCCTGGATGCTCAGGAAAAATACCAAAGTCGTGCTTCCCAACTGTACCGTGCTAAGCTGGAAAAACTTGCTATTGACGCTGTTAAGACCCATGGTAACAAGGTAACCAGTCACTACCCGTCTTAGTTTCTACAGTTAACTCTGGAACTTGATGAAGGAAAATTCAAACGTGATCAGGTGGCTGACTTTTTTGAGGAACATACTGAAAGTGGTACGACTGACATTAGAAATGATGAACCTGTGATAGTAACAACAAGTGAGTTGTGTACGTGTTTGTAAATTGCATAACTGTACTGATAGGTGGCGAGAATATGGTTTATTTATCAATAGTGTTGGTACTTTGCTTTCTATCAGAAATGTATAGAGGCTCTCCTATCTTAATTAGCGACTGCCGGGAACGTTTTTGCTTGTCCGAAATCTGACAGTGTCAGATAACATTTCAACCTGTTTCGTATTGAAAATGAGTTACTCAATGAAGTTTTTCAAATAAAGAATATCAAAGGGTTGCGGCAATGCGTTTTAGCGTCAGCATCACTTTGTAAGCATCAGTACACAAACATAGAAGATGAGAGTATTGAGTTAATTAGTTCGGGATTTCTTATATTTAAACGCATCTTCTATATCGTATGCTAAACATTAACCAGACTCGCTACTCCACGCACATATCCCATCAATTACGAAAAGACTGATCCGCCTTCTGTTAACGCAATAAAGTCAGTAAAACCAAGTTATAAGTACTTCCACAATTTTTTTTTCAAAATTAAGTAATCATCGTTCATCAAAATTCCTAAATTAGTTAAAAATAAAATCACATTTATTTGTAAAACAGGTTCGGTCGCTTGATAGCCGCTTCCTTAAGTCTAGATCCAGTATTACATAAGATACGAAATCGGTCTAGTTATACCAGCATGTTTTTTTCAGGTACTAAAATTATTACGGAGTTTTTTAAACATGGAAAATCGAGAACTAAAGCTGTTGTCACGTGAAATAGCTTTTATGTGTTCTATGCCAATAATAGCGCAAAATGACTAGTTTTAGGATAAAAGGTAATACTAACCATAGTCAAAAACTAGACAAGGTAAGGGACACAAAATCTAAGATATGTGGAATGTTTCGGAAATACGTATGCATAAACGACACCCGTCTGTTCTTCTGCAGGCTACTATCACTTATCTTTGTTGACGTTTCTAATACTAGCTATGTTTATATTGGGAACTCATTTTCCGCAAACTTCAACCCCCAAATGCCCTGGTATGGCCGAGAGTGGGGCGGGCTCGCCCTCTCGAAATACTCTCACACGGTCACACGTATACAGCCTCTGTCAGGGAAGTCCGATTCACTGCCTTCTTGTGGCGGGGGTCTTGTTTACGAAAATGAGAGGACGAAAAGCGAATGTCCGGCGCTTTAACCGGATTCAAAACCAATGGTGCACACGGGCTCCAGTATCCTGTGGGAACTAACGGCGTATAAACCAATTTCTTAGTCACCGGCTACAATGGGACAGCATCTCCTCACGATGATCAACTGCGTTGTGGGTCAAACCTTTAGGTCAAAGGCTCGGGGTGTGGCCCCTTAGAAAAACCACCTGCTTCGGTCTGGGCGCCCGGGTGGTATCACAGCCCAAACACAAATGATGAACTATCGATTTATGGAAAATATATATCGACTCGTTCCATGACGTTGGTACACTCTCTAGTTCCCAGACTTTTGTAAACAACGTTGTCAGTTCCTTTGCCAGAAAGTCACCACCTCTTAAAAAAAACCGGAGGTAAGTCATCTGGTCCAGGTGATTTGTATCTCTTCAAGAGTTGGAGTTCCATGCGGACTTCCTCCTCATTTGGTGGATCAGTCATCACCGGCCATGGAGGGCAGGACAGTCTGACCGATGCTGCCGGAGCAGCATGCCAGTTGAACTGCCCTTCGAAGAATTCTGCCCATCGTCCAAGACGTCGATGGATGTTAGTGATTGGCATCCCATCATCCTCACAGATTGTTTCATCCACATCAGACTTCTTGCTGCCAGTGGCTCGGATGATTTGGAAGAGCTTCCGGTAATTACCAGATGCAAATACTGCTTCCAGCTCATTAGCACGCTCCGACCACCAGGCTTCTCGGTCCTTACGCAAGCTTTGTCCGATTTCATTTCGTAACATCCTTCGTTTGTTGTCAAACTCACGGTCTTTCAGAGTAGACCAACGGGCTTTTATGATTTGTAAGGAGCCTGAAGAAACCCAGTGCTTATAAGCGGGATGTTTCGCGAAGCCGCAAGCGGCTTTACTCGCCATTTTCATGGCGTCATGAAATTGCAACCAATGCTCATCTATACTTTTCGGTGGAATGGTAGCCAGCCTAGAAGCTAGCTCGGATCGATACTTACTAGCAACAGAAGTTGCAACCAACTTGCTGACATCAATTCTTTGGTGGCGGTCACTTCGTTGGCCACTGAAAAGTAAGGCAAGATCGGCGCAGATCAGGGCATGATCAGAGTTCATATAGGTACTCCAAAAGGAGCGGCAGTCCTGTACACAACTACACCAGCGGTAGCTGATCGCGATGTGATCAATCTGAGTCAAGGCTTGAGATGCAGAGGGAGGACGCCAGGTGGCACATCGGCGATGACTGTGCCGGAAGTTATTGCTCACCAGAAACAGGTTGTGATCTGTGCACAGTCGCAGTAGACGGTCCCCTTTATCTGTCCTGCGACCAACAAGTCCCCATCGGCCACCTAAAGAATTCTCTTCTGTGCCTAGACTCCCAACCTGAGCATTCAATTATCCGGCTAGTACTACAATATCTGTCGAACGCACTTTCTGGAGAAGAACAGATAACTGGTGGTAAGATTTATTCTTGATCGCATCCGGGCTGCAATCTGTCGGGGCATAGGCGGAGATGACGATTTCTTCTCACTTCGATGGAGCTTTCTAATCTAACAGCACATAACCGACTGTTAATGGGGATCTAATCGATTAGTGTTGCCTCGGCTCTAGCGCTTAGTGTGACACCAACGCCAGCAAGACCAGACGAAGACGTCACAGGGTCCCCTGATAAGCGCATATAAAACAAGGTTTTCGAAGCGACAGATGGAGAGCTAATTTGTAGTTTTTCACTAGTGTTGAATACGGGTCTCTGATAGACAACAAACATCGATATTAAGACTTTCCAAAGACATAGCCAGCCCTATCTGTTGTCCGATTGTTAACAGAATCGTGAATATAATTTGGAGTAAATATCGGCATTTTCATTTTATTTGTACGTGGGCTGTGATACCACCCGGGCGCCCAGACCGAAGCAGGTGGTTTTTCTAAGGGGCCACACCCCGAGCCTTTGACCTAAAGGTTTGACCCACAACGCAGTTGATCATCGTGAGGAGATGCTGTCCCATTGTAGCCGGTGACTAAGAAATTGGTTTATACGCCGTTAGTTCCCACAGGATACTGGAGCCCGTGTGCACCATTGGTTTTGAATCCGGTTAAAGCGCCGGACATTCGCTTTTCGTCCTCTCATTTTCGTAAACAAGACCCCCGCCACAAGAAGGCAGTGAATCGGACTTCCCTGACAGAGGCTGTATACGTGTGACCGTGTGAGAGTATTTCAAGAGGGTGAACACGCTTTCCCCACTCTCGGTCGTACTAGGGCACTTGGAGGCATCACGTTAAGTTAAATGCAATCGTTCAGCCCAGAACATCATCGGAACCCAGGCCTCTCGGAGTTGAGAATGTTGGCAATCAGGGCCCGGAGGTACGGTATGTGATTTGCACCTTTGAAGACTGACAGGATTCTAATCCTGTACTAACCCTGGATGATGAGCAGATAGACGTAGTCGAGAAGTTCGTGTATCTAGGTAGCTGCATAAGTGCTGGTGGTGGCGTGAGTGATGAGATCAATGCACGTACAGTGAAAACCAGAGCAGTTTATGCCAATCTGGGCCATCTTTGGCGCCTTCGTGATGTCAGTCTGACTGTAAAAGGTCGGATATACAATAGCGTCGGTGAGAGCAGTTCTGCTCTATGCTTGTGAAACCTGGCCTCTCCGAGTTGAGAATGTTATACGACTCTGTGTTTGATCATCGTTGTCTCTGAAGGATTGCTGACATCCAGTGGCAACACCATGTTAGAAATACAGAGGTTCAGCATCGTGTGTTCGGGCACAGAGATGATTATGCAATTGGTGTCACCATTTTGAAACATCGACTTCGGTGGCTTGCATATGTTCTACGAATGTCGTCCCAGAGAACGCCACGTCGCGCATTATTTGACGACGCTGGGACTGGTTGGAAAAAGCGGAGAGGTGGTCAGTGTATGACATGGTGTCGTGGTATGAAAGAAAGCTCCAAAGGGCTGGCTTCTGTTGGTCCTCCATGACTCCCTGGCTGGGGTCCGAGAGATGGTGCAGCACAGTGACTAGAGACGTTATCAGATATGGCTCAGAATAGAAGCCAGTGGCGATCCTGCTGCAACCTTCCTTTACTTTTTTCATGAAAAAATGGTTGTTTCTTTCTTAACTGAAAGATTTTTTCTGATTGTACCTTTCCGTTTCCCCCATCATTACTATTATTATTTTTTTTATTACAATTACACTACCTTACACTAATCTGTTCATTATTGTTCTTTTTTTCTCTCTTCGAATTCTGATTGTTTTGTGTGGCGCATATATATTTGGTGCCCTCTTGTACCAATATTTATGTGTTCAAATAAATAAAAATAAATAATTTCAAAACCCGAATACTGTCTCCATCAGTTCAATTAGTGTTCTTGATGTACTGCTCTCCTTTACTTCGAATTAATCACAACCTATTAAACCCCACACAATGGAGTTCGAAATCAATATAGCATTCCTGTTGTTGAGGGTTATCAGCCTACCGGAGGGTAGCTGAATTGGCGGTTGCATTCCGTAACTTATCACGTCTCCCAGTTCACTCATGCTTGTAAGATATGGACATATATGTGAAGATATGGTTGATCTGAGCCATGTTGAGGGATGCAGACTTCCAGATAGAGCCGAGCGTAATACCTAAAATCAATTATTTAAGGGATTGTATGACATAGAATAAAGTCTTTCATTGTAGTGCAATTGGAACAATTCTTCATGGATTTTTGAATCCCGAACTAAGTATTAATCCCAACTTTCATTTTTTAGATTTAAATTGTCAACTCTTCATTTGAAAGTAGTGCAGGAAAGTTGGTAACGAATTCAAACGATTCGTGGGAAATCTAAAAATTGATCTCATGATATTTAGACTCTGTAAGCATTCCTCACCTATCTGTACTAAAATGATTTTCTCTTCTTTAGAAAGGGGAAAAACTATTATTGTCGATCTCTGACTTTAGTAAAAGTACGACTTCAGAGTTTAATGATCTGCCGTTTGAAGATAGTTGCACTAGTTGAACCCGTTAGTCTTTATTTATTTGAACACATAAATATTGGTACAAGGGGCCACCAGATATATATGCGCCACACTAGTTGAACACTTAACTTTATTATCTTATCACCAACCACGAAAGTATATGACGTGCCATATTATCCACTTATACCTGGTTTATAATTCGGATGCTATAAAAGTGCAAAAGTTCTAATATTTAGCACGTGTTCTAATCGAGAAGTGTTTTTGCGAATTAAGATCCCATGTTTGTAGACCCACAAACCTATTATATTGTAGGTATTCAATGTATCTCAGCAATATAAAATGTATTTAGGGGTGTCGATATTTTCTTTTAATTCTTTTCTGCTCATCAGGAATCATCGACTTTCCATATTTATTCTGCTGAATATAGTTGAAGAAAAGCTCTGGAATAAAATAAACTCGTTTCTTTTTCTATAAATCTTGTTTTATCGATTTGGAAAGGTTCGTCTAGGTAAAAGTGTACGATAATTTCCGTACTCTTCAACTTTCAACCAACATTTTACTCCATTGGACGGAAAATACTATTCTACAACTCTAGAACGATCCTGATAGTTGACTTCATTTTACTGGGACAACTATGAAAATTTTTACTATATTTCCTTCTGTTGCACACTTGTAACTATTTACGTAGATGCATTTTAGGAAACTTAAACCAGTCGTCAACGTTGACATAAGTGCTGGTTATGGAAATATCGACATCCTGAAAGACGTCTTGCAATAAATATTTAGCTGTTTCAAACTATATAATTATTATTAAGCTGTATTTATCAACTCCATTCTTAATGGTAAAGTACTGAATAAGTTCATCCCTGACAAGATTTACTATCATATTTAACGATTGTACTTGTAAACCTTCACTTTTTTGATTACTTGATTGCCTTGTTGATGTTTCTATATATATTGGATTCAAAGAAATTATGACCTGGCGATATCGTTTACTAAGATCTATAAGTCCTATTTCATACACACTAGTGGAATTAACTTGTCTATTTACAAGTACCTCAATTACTTGCGCATTATTAATACCTGACTGGTTAGGCTAATGGGATCTTCAAAAACAGACTTCGTTTTTCAGTGAAGATAATACCATCTAATTAATCATCTATGTCATATAGTATCCTTCTGAAAACTAATCGTTGACCGTACTGATTTTCGCTATCTACCATGGCGCCCATCAAATATAAGAATTGTTTGCTGTGAAAATCCAAGACTTTCATATCCACCACTTTTCTTCATAGAAGGATGTACTTTAAACAACACCACACGTTTTCTAGGCCTAATTCGGCTTCTGGACTGATAATGATGTAATAAAATGTTATATTATTCCCCACTGTTGCACTGTTTGATCAAAGTAGTGTATGGAAACATTTATCCTTATATACTATGCGGATAAATTGGAAACATGATTATTATTCTAATTTATTTAAATCTATTGAAGAGTTCTACGGAATTACGGTAAAATGACCTAAATAGTTCAGACTTTGGCGTCTTTATGCATCGAAAATGGCGTAATGAGATATTGTGATTTGTCAAAAGTTATAAACAGGTTTAATTTGTCTGATATGATTTGATGATCCTCGTATCCTGTGTTGAAACCCTGTTCACCGATTCTGATTCTCCTTTAGACTACTGTTGAGTAGTTGTGAAATGAATAAACGATTGTTTTTAAATAAATTCACTACAACTGGCTGTAGCCAATAATAAATACTAACGTTTTTAAACCCCAAAATCATGTTCAAATAAAACTGCTAAATACATTTTTCATATTTGATAGAAATGAATCTGGAACAGTCAGTTGGGCCTACCGTTGATAATCTATTCAATTCTCCTGTATCTGAACCTGGTCCTACAAAAATACCTTCTGTAATTGGAACTAGGAAACCGAATACTACACGGGTAATTTCACCATAATACATAAATATGAATAACTTGTCTTATTGTAAATGCAGGCTAGTAAAAATTGTATTTTAAAACAAAAGTATGCGATATCAATCAGTTTATTTACCTGAATCTCCCGGTTGCTTATTGAATGAAATTAAAAATCGGTCTGTAACAAAAATAACTCTGCCATATATTACTTCTATATTCAGTCCTCTTGTTCTCACGAGTTTTACTAGCAGCTTATTGTCATCCACTTTATTTAATCACGTAACATTAACTTTTTTATTGTACGCCTTGATTACCAAGGTGTTTGGTGTACAACTCAATAAATGGATGGTAATAAAGATAAATTGTATTGAATTCTACTACTAGCCAAAACTAAATAGTGTATTATCAAGAATCCAGTCTCACTATTTGCCTACCAAATTTTCTTTCTCCACAGTTCAAAAGAGCTAGAATTTCGGTAACATTTATTTATCCTCTCATGTCCTCAATATAACAAACATTTATGCATCAATTTTTAAATTTATAAGATCCGTCTCATTATACTGTTTGTATAACATTTTGCAGTCATGTCTATATTACTCCGAAACAGTAACGTTGATTCTTTAAAGTTGGTCCTTTGACATTTATCAGATTCATACTTGGGTATTATTTACTTAAAGTGCACTCAGAAGACAGTACTTAAATCTACAAACTTAGTTTATTCTAATAACTTGGATATATTATTAACTACTTGTTCCGTTGTCGGCTTGATTCACGATGGTACTCGTCACAGATTGACCTCAATTAGGGTACCGCGAAACCATAAGATTTTGTATTTGACCCCGAGTGGGATCGTAAGTGAACACTGGCGGTGTTCCATACTTCAACAAACGAACCCCCTGATTTCTAATAGTGCTTCAACTGAGGTTAATCTATAACGATTAATACCTTCAGACTAAACTGATTTCCACAAGACCCACTTAAAATAATGGATTTCCCAACACCCTCTTGCTTGAACTAGTCATATCTGGACTTTTGTAGGCTGGACCTTAGTCGTTTTACCCTACATCTTTCCCTATCGTTTCACTTCCGTTCTATCCATTCATTTTAATAATTCTTTGAGTTGCCTAGTTAAATCCTAGCCCATAACATTTGGTGCACCCTCCACAAATTTTAAACATTTCCCAGATATTGACTAGTGGTTGAATATGTTTACCAACTGCTAACCTTAATCCATCTGTTTCAAGCCAGTGAGTTTTCAAAAACCCAAGATGTGTATTTGATTAGCCTTCTTTCCGTTGTAGTTCAAAGCTTTGCAGTTACAAGTTAATATTTTATAGAAATCATTGCCATCAATCATCTACCAACCGTTCTTCATTTAAATAGGTTATTGAAGACCTATTATAAACATAAACTACACGGAATTTCCTACGTATCTCTGTTCTTTGTAAACATGTCGCTAGTCAAACATTTTCAACGAATAGCCTGTTAAAACTATTATCATCGTTATCCATTTTAGCTTTCATGGGGTCAGTTCTCGCTTTATTAACAGTTTCAGAATACAATGGATTCCATATGTAAGGTGTTTGTTAATTGTTGCGCTCAGAGAAATTGTGATCGATTTTAATTCTATGAAATTAGCAGTTCACCACCTCATAGTTAATAATCTGATTCATAGTCCTGTGTATCTTAAGAATGTACTAACTGGTTATCACGTGTTAACTATTTATGGTTATACAAAGATCAAGTAAAAGTAATACTTGAAAGCTCCAAAGTCCTGTTCTAGTCAGTTGATGTTTTGAAAAACTAAACAAACTGAGAAAATGTTGCGTGAGTGAATACGTAGTAATATATGCAAGCACCGTCATAATAATGACTCGATAATTTAAAGTCACGACACTTCTTACTAAAGATGTCTGTTCGATATGGGACGACATTCCGAATTATTTGGGATTGGTAATAGACGGCTGATTAAGGCAGTTAAATATAAATAGACGAAACAGCTAGATTGACCAATGTTCATACGTTCATACTAAATTAAGTGTGCTATTCCTTCTGGGGTACTGTCTGCTGTCGCTCACAAGATTTCTGCATTATGTGTTCCATTCAACTGATTGTTCAACAGTGGTTCGCATTGCCGCAATTTGGTCGGCACATGATCTCCTCTTGCCAAAACCAGCTCGTTAATCTCGAAGTTCGGTGTCTTCTAAATCTTACATTCTGTTCAGCAGCAATCTGCCAAAACGGCCTGATACTGAGAGTAGTGTGCATAATCCTTCTGTAATTCTCACACCTAATTCAGTGAACGACTATTTTATTGTTTGATGCGCAATCACACAATGGTTTAGCAGAATGTGAAAATCATACATCAAGTGCATTATTTGCACATCTTCGAATTGTCTCTTACAAACTTCATTGTTCCTTTTCTCTTCTCTTCATTTCGATCTTCTCAACCTTCGTCTTGCAGCCACTCCACTTCCGATTGTTGTTACGTACTACTTATACCTGCAAACATACGTATCATACACCACACTAAGATCCCCTTATTTTGGTATCTTGACGAGGAATACTTTTCAATTTTTTATTACTCGTTCTTCCCCCACAAATCCTTTTCAAGAGAACGTAGAACATATTTACAGTTGCCCCTTCATCTAACATTAGTGCTTCAACTGATATGCTGTTTGGTTCTACTACTCTGCCAATAATTGTTTGTCTGACGGCTTTATTGTTAGCGGGGTATCATCCATAGGGAGATATGCGTATGTTTCTTCCAAGTTCTGTGATTTTGGCGGCGCGGGTCCGTTTATAGGATTTTCAATGTGCTCTACTCACCAGTCCCACCATTCTTGACCCTCGGTAATTGGTTTGTTTTTCTTTGTTCCTGACTGATCGCTCTGGTCCATATTTTCCTGCAAGCCTGTTGGTGGTATAACATAGTTCTCTTATTTATTAACACCCTAAAGGCCCTATATGCAAACACCTCAGGCAGAGTGAGGGCATACAACCACCTCTCTCCATTCGAGCAGTGGGGTTAGGCAGGGTTGCCCAACCTCACCATTCCTCTTCAACTTTTTCATCGATGACATTCTGGAAACAGCTCTGATGGATGTAAGTAATGGAGGTGTGGATCTTTTGCCTGGAGAAAGACTTCTCGACCTTGAGTATGCGGATGATATTGTGTTACTGTGCGATAATGCCCAAGGCATGCAATCTGCATTTAATCAGTTGGCAATCAGTGTCCGGAGGTACGGTATGTGATTTGCACCTTTGAAGACTGACAGGATTCTAATCCTGTACTAACCCTGGATGATGAGCAGATAGACGTAGTCGAGAAGTTCGTGTATCTAGGTAGCTGCATAAGTGCTGGTGGTGGCGTGAGTGATGAGATCAATGCACGTACAGTGAAAACCAGAGCAGTTTATGCCAATCTGGGCCATCTTTGGCGCCTTCGTGATGTCAGTCTGACTGTAAAAGGTCGGATATACAATAGCGTCGGTGAGAGCAGTTCTGCTCTATGCTTGTGAAACCTGGCCTCTCCGAGTTGAGAATGTTATACGACTCTGTGTTTGATCATCGTTGTCTCTGAAGGATTGCTGACATCCAGTGGCAACACCATGTTAGAAATACAGAGGTTCAGCATCGTGTGTTCGGGCACAGAGATGATTATGCAATTGGTGTCACCATTTTGAAACATCGACTTCGGTGGCTTGCATATGTTCTACGAATGTCGTCCCAGAGAACGCCACGTCGCGCATTATTTGACGACGCTGGGACTGGTTGGAAAAAGCGGAGAGGTGGTCAGTGTATGACATGGTGTCGTGGTATGAAAGAAAGCTCCAAAGGGCTGGCTTCTGTTGGTCCTCCATGACTCCCTGGCTGGGGTCCGAGAGATGGTGCAGCACAGTGACTAGAGACGTTATCAGATATGGCTCAGAATAGAAGCCAGTGGCGATCCTGCTGCAACCTTCCTTTACTTTTTTCATGAAAAAATGGTTGTTTCTTTCTTAACTGAAAGATTTTTTCTGATTGTACCTTTCCGTTTCCCCCATCATTACTATTATTATTTTTTTTATTACAATTACACTACCTTACACTAATCTGTTCATTATTGTTCTTTTTTTCTCTCTTCGAATTCTGATTGTTTTGTGTGGCGCATATATATTTGGTGCCCTCTTGTACCAATATTTATGTGTTCAAATAAATAAAAATAAATAATTTCAAAACCCGAATACTGTCTCCATCAGTTCAATTAGTGTTCTTGATGTACTGCTCTCCTTTACTTCGAATTAATCACAACCTATTAAACCCCACACAATGGAGTTCGAAATCAATATAGCATTCCTGTTGTTGAGGGTTATCAGCCTACCGGAGGGTAGCTGAATTGGCGGTTGCATTCCGTAACTTATCACGTCTCCCAGTTCACTCATGCTTGTAAGATATGGACATATATGTGAAGATATGGTTGATCTGAGCCATGTTGAGGGATGCAGACTTCCAGATAGAGCCGAGCGTAATACCTAAAATCAATTATTTAAGGGATTGTATGGAATTCCACATGGATTTCCTGTAGATAGATCTTTTTAAGGTACGTCTTCCTTTCTTGTCCTTACCACATCAAGGAAGTGAATATTTTGTTTGTTTTCAACCTCTAATGTGGATTTTATTGATGGGTGGGAATTATTAAATATCTTCATGTTTGTTTTCACAAACGAGAAAGATATCATTTATGTATATTTTATACAAGTGAAGCTTTTCTATAATCGCTTCCAGTTGATTGTTTTCTAAACTGGCCATGAAACATTCTGTAAGTAACAGACCCAGAGGGGATCCCATTGCCATACCGTCCTTCTGTCTATAAATATTATTATTATTCTCCAGCCGACCAATGTTCACCAATAATCTGAAAGATAAATTATCACATCCGACCAACTCAATGTGCGTTTACCAATTTACCTGCTTTTGTAGAGCTAGGTATATAGGTCGTTCAATGCGTACTTTATCCAAAAGAATTCAAGAACATTATCCGGCGTGGCTAAAAAGAGGAGACAACAGTTCAATAAGAAGTTCTATAATCAAACACCTTGTGAACGCAGGTCACTCAATCAAGACAGACTCTGCCTTCAAAGTCATCCACAAGGTGAGTAGGAGTCTTCCTAAGACAATCATACTGCATCTTCTCTGCATTGCCGAAGCAATAACCATACATATGGAAAAACCAGAATTGTGTGTTACAACCTCTTCTTCTATCATGGTCTTAATGTATTAAAATTTTCTCTTTCTTCATACTCTTGTTCCTTTACAGCCATCGGCTTCACCTTCCATCTTACCTTTAGATCTTCTACTCCCAACTGGTTTGTTTTTGTTTCCACGATCATTCCGATTACATTTAATCTCTGTTTCAGCATTTTATTCTATCATGCTGACCCATCCTTTCCCACTGATAATTTCCCTATCTATCTTTTGATGAATACTTAAGCCAATAACAATCAAACGATTATTAAACTTTCCTTGTTTTAAAAAGTTTTTTTATTTTTATTTTTTAATACCTTTGTTTATTTAACCTCACTGTCACCATATATAACAGAAGTTTATTATCAGTATTATTATCATCCTGTAAAAGTAGTTATATATATTTGCGATTGTACAGCTCTGAAAATGAATTAGCCGAAAGGAGAACTCTTCGCTGAACTAATCTTTCTTATTTAACATATTCACCAACATAAACACGTTACTATATTTACAATACACAAAATGAAGATGTATCGTTGAACTCCAATGCTTTTTGCGGTAAGATTGTGTAAAGACTTTCTAATAATGAAGTTTATATGTCTGACCTCAAATGCTCTGGCACGGCCGAGAGTGGGGAGAGTCCGTCCAGCCTCTCGGAATGCTCTCACATTGCCACGCGTATATAGCCTCTTCCAGGGAATTCCTGCTCTTTGCCTTCTCGTGGCGGGGGTGTTTACGAAAATGAGAAGATGAAAAGCGAATGTCCGGCGCTTTCACCGGGTTGATGGACATGGGTAGTTCATCTAGGTGAGTTGGAAAACCTTGATTCCAAACCAGTGATGCACATGGGCTCCAAGATGCTGAATGAAAAAATGGCGTATCGATCAATCGTTGGTCACCGGCTATCATGGGACTGCATCTCCTTACGATGCTCCACTGCCTTGTGGATCAGATCTTTAGGTCAAAGGCTCGGGGTGTGGCCTCCTAGGAAAACCACCTGCTTCGGTTTAGGCACCCGAGAAGTATCACAGCCCTCACACAAATCAAATTAGATTTGTGCGGCGCATATGTATTTGGTGCCTCCTTGTACCAATATTTATATGTTCAAATAACAATAATTATTATTATATGTCTTTCACACAAATTTTTTCAATTGTATTTCTTCATATTTCATACGTTTCTGAACGGATTATATCCCTTTTCTTCTATAAATTCAAATGTTTCGTTCAGTCTAGTGCTAAAAAAGGTGGATTGGGGGCATCAAAGGTGAAAGCTGATTTCTCTGCCATCGTTTCGGCTGCCGAACGTGCTGATATTGAAAAAAAATGTCAGATTCGTTCAACTGACCAGGATTTAGAAGATAAGGAAAAACGTAATGAAGAACGACTGTAAGTATTTCCTACTAAAATATCCGGTTATATTTAAAAAGGATTAGCTGACTAAAAGCTTATTTCATAACTACTATATTTTAATAATTATCACCCCATAAGCTGAAAAGATGCATATGACATCATTAACGGCGTAGATTAAACTGATTGCAAATTAATTTTTTTAAATTTTTTAGTGCGTCACTTCGATTAGCGTATAAAGATATTACCGATGGGTGTGAAAGGCAAGACACTGCCAACTTGAAATCTACAGACTCTCAACGTGCCAAACAAGCTGAACGCCTTGGTATGGGTAAAATAGGTACAGGCAACAGGTAAGTTCGTAAGTTCTGAATCGCTTTGCGAACTGCAAATATACTAACTGAATTATAGCGTATTTCTTTCTCTTTCCTCTACTTCCAGCTAATATAAATTCCGGTCTCATTATTTTATGGAATTTGATACAAGATTAGTTTAACCGTTGTTACTTTTCAGTAGTTAAGATCATGAGTCAACTGAAGCTAGACCACCATGGAAAACCTGGAAGCACTGAACGGCCGTTTCGTCCGATTGCGGAACTCCTCAGTAGTGTGCATCCACGATCCCGCCTCGCGAGATTAGAACCATGGACCTATCGGTCTCGTGCGCGAACACTCAACCTCTAGACCACCGATCCGGCGTCGTGAGGCGGCATCGTAGATGCGCGCTACTGGGAAGTCCCACAATCGGACGGAACCGCCATCCAATGCTTCCAGGTTTTCCACGGTGGTCTAGCTTCAATTGACCCATTGTAGTGAACAAGAATACCAGTGGGAACAATCGAATATATTTGAGCACAAAATTACAGAGAATCTCAGTAAAATCTGAGAACCATATAGTAAATCGTTAACTTGCAAAATATCAATCCATCATATCAAACTTGACTGTTCCTGTCGCAAACATCAATCCATTATCTCAGATATCATTGTTCATGCGTTTTCATACCAATTGCGTTCCGTTCCCGTTCTTTCCTCATCGACCTTCTACTGAAATACATTCTATGCCGGACCACCGTTATATATTACTCGTGTGGATATAAGTAACCCACACCACACAATGATATCAACTACTGAGATTACTGTAATATCCACAAAAAATCCTTCTGATACTAATTATCACTTTCTAAATCATTTATCAACCTTGTTTTCTACTATCATTCACACTCAGTTAATTACACTGTTACCCCCTCGTGTAGCAGCATAGGCTACCCACCAGCAATCTCGATTCAACCATGTACTTGGCAATACTTTCCAGTTGCTATTCATCCTTTTCATGCCTGCCTCCGATTCCCGACGCACTGTGTCGTTCGGCCTTCCTCTTTTCCGTTTCCCTTCAGTATTCTGAGTCGGCGCTAACCTCGTGATTCAGTTTGATGATTTCTTGAATGTGTGTCCTATTCAGTTCCAGCATCTTTTCCTGATTTCCTCTTCATCTGAAACTGGTTCGTCCTCTCCCACAGTAGGCTGTTGCTGCTAGTATCCGGCCAACAGATATTGAGTATCTTGCGTATACAATTGTTTATAAATACTTGTAACTTAATGATGGTTGTGGTAGTTCTCCAAGTTTCAGCTCCGTACAGTAAAACTTTCTTGACGTTCGTGATGAAGATTCTGACTTTGATGTTGGTTGGCAATTGTTTTGAGTTCTATATGTTCTTCAATTGTAGGAATGCGGTCCTTGCTTTGCCAATCCTCGCATTTACGTCTGTGTTGGATCCTCCTTGTTCATCAATAATACTTCCCAGGTACGTGAATGATTCTATATCTTTCAGAGCTTCTCCATCAAGTGTGGTTGGGTTGGTGTTCTCTGTGTTGTATTTGAGGATCTTGCTGTTTCCCTTGTGTATGTTGAGGCATACTGCTTCAGAGGCTGTTGCTACACTAGTTGTCTTCATCTGCGCTGGTTCGTGTGTATGGGGTAAAAGGGCCAGGCTATTTGCGAAGTCCAAATTTTCTAATTGATCATGAGCTGTTTATTGTATTCCGAGCTCTCCCTCAGATGTGGAGGTCTTCATAATCCAGTCGACCACCAGAAGAAAGAGGAAGGGAGAGAGTAAGTAGTGTTGTCTGACACCGATCTTTACTTAGAACGCATCTGTCAGCTATCCTTCATACACCACTTTGCATTGTATGAATTCCATGTGGTGTTGACGATTTTCCCAGGTACACCATAGCATCGAAGAAGGTTCCATAAGGTTCTCCTATTCACTCTGCCAAATACCTTCTCATAGTCAAGAAAGTTAGTTTATAGTAACGACTTTCATTCCATTGATTGATCATCAATGACCTGTAGTGTCACGATTTGGTCTGCTCATGATCGATCTTTACGGGATCCGGAGTGTTGATCTCGAAGCTGAGTGTTCACTGAATCCCTCATCCGGATCAAAATCACTGTTGAAAACTTTTCCCGGTACCGATAGTTTTGTGATGCATCTGTAGGTCTCAAATGCTGTAGTTTACCGAATTGATGATAAACATATCAAGATAAATCAAATCGTTTAAATGATTTTGGACAGTATACAATAGGCTTACATTCTGTTCTTGAATCTCGGTGATTGGCTTTCCTTTGTCCTTGATTGGTCTCTCTGTTTTATTATATTTCCCTGCTTGTTTCTTCATCGTGTCATATAGTTGTTCCATATTTCCTCCTCCTGCAGCTTTATCTACCGTCGTTGTTAGCTCTTTCATATATTTGTACTTGTCAGCTCTAATGCTTCTCTTCACTTGCTTGTTTGGTTCTATGTATTCGGCGCGTACCTTGACTTTCTCTGCTCTTGTTCGGCTGTTGTTAATTGTTCTCTTCTTGTTCTTACTTTCTTGAATCTCATTTAAGTTTCCGATAGAAACCCATTCCTTATGATGGTGCTTGTTGCTGCCCAGAACCTCCTGACACGTTGAAGTTAGTGCTTCTTTAAGCCTTTTCCACTTATCCTGCTTAGTAATTTCTTGTTTGAGTAGATTTTGTAAAGCTTGTAACCTGTTGTTAAAAGTTATCTTGAATCGGTTGAGTTTTTCAGTATTTTCAAGGGAAGATTGCATTAAACCTTTGTAATGCTGTTTCCCGAGTTGTCCATTGCATCTTTAGCTTCAATTTCATCTTGGCCACAGCCACGTGGTGATCCGAAGCTATGTCAACTCCTCTCCTGGTTCTCACATCTTCGATTGTCCGTCTGAATTTTTTATTGATACCAGTATGATCTATCTGGTTCTCCATGGTGTGATTCGGTGGGACCCATGTAGCTCGGCGTATATGTTTGTGTGAGAATATTGTGCCGCCTATAACCAATTTTTCGAATACGCATAGGTTTGAAAATCTCTCGTTATTCTCGTTCTTTTCTCCTAGTCCATGTTTTCCCATGATATCTTCACACCCGATGTTGTCCATTTCGACTTTTGCGTTTGGTTTCCCATCAGGATGGTAAGGTCCTATCTTGGCCACTTCGCTATGATTGACTGCAGCCTCTCATAGAACGGATCTTTATTGTCGTCTTCGCTATCATTGGTGGATTCATAACATTGGATAACAGTCATCGCGATTTCCTCCTTCTCTATTTTGAAGGATGCTTTGATGATCCTAGATCCGTGAGATTCCCATCATATGAGTGCATTACGTGCTTCTTTGAGCAGCATCAGAGCAACTTCCTGAGTGTGTGGAGCATTTCCCTCCTTGTGACCGGAATACAGGAGCCAAGTTGTATCTCATTTCCGTTGCCATTTTTCTGGTCCTCCCGGTCTTCCACATTGTTTGGATGTTCCATGTACCTATAGAAAATATTGTTCTGGTTGTTAAAAGGGGTATCGATCTCTTGACTTCGCAAGAATCTCGGCTTTCATTCTGAGACCTCTTAATTTCTCCTTGAACTCGGAGGTCAGAGTTTAATCTGGTTCGCGCTGTTTAGCAAGGTTTTGTTCTGCAGGATATGGTTGCTGACCCCATGCCCAACCCCGTCCTTTACCTGGGCTTGGGACCGGCAGTAACTCTAGAAAAGCTACAAGCGGAGTTACATGCATTCGAAGCATAGTGCTAATAAAAGTCCTGAGACATATATATATATATATATATATATATATATGCAATGGTTTATCTTTTATTGATAACTTAAGGAGATATGAGGTGCATATTTATATTTAAAATTATGTGTATAGTGCTATTCATATCAAGAAAATTTTAGAAATAGATTAAATCCTGAATAAAAAATATATATAACTGTTTAAGAGTTGTTAAAGACTATATTCTACATGGTTCATTAACTATTTTTTAATTATTTGCACAGAGTTACTGACAATTCGAACAAATTTTCCTTGCGTTTAAATGTACCATATGATTTCATTTAAGAAAATTCAGACTAGGTCACATTGTTTACTTTTCTTGTTTCTAAACGTCTTGACAACACTTATGATGTGGTTGTATTTGATCATTTCACCGATAGTTAAGTAGTTTCCGTCAATGTCGCAACTGTACATTAGTGTGTGATAATGAAAATACTTCTTAAATTATCAAAACAACAATTTGATCCCTTCACTTGAACGAGTATCCACTAATCTATATATCCATTTTTTGTAGAGAAATATCGCACTCAGCATTTGCAAATATTCAAAAAATAGAGCAAGAAAACTCAGCTCCCACCCACACTTCATCGCTAAGTTCAAATTTGGACCCTTTCTTCATTTCAAGTTACAGTAATAGAGACCGTGATACACGCAATTTTTTGGATTCTGGAGATGATAATTTATTCGGTTTGTGACACTTTTGGTTTTTGCCATTAGGTTTTTATACTATTCTGTGGTAAATATCAGGAGTTCAGTAATGGTGATTAATTAAAAACTGTATTTGATAGTTTTATACAATTTTAGCGTTATGTAATACACATATAAAAGTAGCTGAAGTTTTGGCCATACATACTTCCTAAACTATTTGCATTTACTGTTATTATGGTGCCCCTCAGACCAACTTATAGCTAGTGGTTCTGATTGTAGTGCATTTTTTTAAATGAACAAATTGTTACCTTCACATTCTTATTATGTAAGTTTCTCTTTCCACTAAGGTTTGTTAATATCTGATTTTCTCACGTAATGCCGTGTTATTTACTTCCTAAAGGAGGCTCTGCGACGTATGGTATGAATGGCGGATGGTCAAAAAATAAATCAAGGGACAATGACTGGGATGGGCATTTTTCAGATCCTTTTAACCAAAAGCCAAACAGAACACGTGATTTGTCTACTGTTGCTGATGAATTTCCAACTAAATCACCCAGCAAACAGCCTACATCTCTTTCGTCTAAACAATCAGAAACTAATCCAGATCTAAGTGAATTAATGAAGAAGTTTGCCAATGCGACTTCTATATCGTCGGATGCGTTTTTTGACCGGAATGATGTAAGCCTAAATGGACTAATATGTTTATCTTTGGTTTTTAATTTCACATCGTATTTCTGCCATAACCTATATCTGACAATCCTTGAAGGTTCCTTACATGCCTACGTTTCTCATAGAAATTGGTAGTTTGAAGAATCTATTTATATCGTAATCATGAAAGGTTACATTATTTATCCCTATACTTTTGTAAGATGTATATTTAGTTGGACACCATCTACAGAATTAAGATAATTAAGCGTGTTTTCATGTCAAAGACTTGTCTGAACAGCGAGATTGTTTCGAAAATTCTTTCTATTACTAGATAACAACATCTGAAATGACTGACGGAATACAGAAATACTTGATAGTTGACTCGGTTCCTCCCATTACTCTCACACTCCTTTAGAGTCACACCAGATTTTTTGTGCATAATCATTTCTGTCTTATCAGAACTCACTAATTTTCATCCTATATCTTCGGTTAGTTCTTAATATGTTTATTTTGTTTACTGATTTCATTTCCACTATTAATACTAAAATTCAAGATACTCACTTTTCCTCAGATTCAATGGCTGTCTCGTGTTGACTTACAACGATATGAACAACCAAATGTTTTTGAGCTGTTAACTCAAATGTTCATAACTCACAAATGACCATTCTCTACGTAAAGCCGTGAAATTTTCTATTAGCTGGCCCCGAAGCTGTGGATAAATTTTAAACATATGAATATTACAACATCACCTTTCGTTTATTATTTTCTAACCACTATTTTGTTCAACTAAGTTGGGCTGATCGATGATGACAATTAAAACAACTGATCTACAACCAAATGTCACCTGTTGTAGATTAAACGTTTTGATTTACAATGTGAATGTGTTTTGGATTGGTATTATAAATGAATGTTAATCAATTAGTGAAATGTGATAATACGATTTGGTCGAGTAATAGCTATGTATGAGATTATTGACACAAACCTCCCAAACAACAAATAGCAAAAGAGGAAATAAATCCCCAGCAGATTAGGCTTTTTCTTTAGTAAAATAGCCTGGCTATTTCCAAAATACTAACGCTTATATAAATGAGTTAGTGCTATAAGTGATTGAATTACATCAATTTAGGATGTGTTGCTAATGGCTTAACCATCTCAGTCATGTTACGTTATTTTTATACTATCTGTCATAGCTAGTTTGGTCCGACTAAATATTTTCCAATAAAAACCCTCAGTAAGTTGACCTATTTCTTTTTACATATTACGGTGACAGATACTATGAAAAATCTCTTGATTAGCAGAGCCGAATAGTGCCTTCTGTCCAAAGAATATGGATGCAATCAAAGAGGAACACGCATTCCAGTTTATATAAACCGCTGTGACATTATAACAAACAAGAGTAGCATCTATATTTGAAATTGCTGCAAATTGTGTGCAAGTTATGTTAACAATTGTCTGTATAGATCAAATTATCTCGCTTATTCTTAATAGACAAGTTGCCTACGTCATTCTCTCTAGAAAACTAATAAAATATCTTTTTATTTATGTTCACATGTTTTTAAGAAGTTCAGTTCGTCGTAATTGAGTTACCATTATGTAAAAACTATGTTCTTTAAAAGGTGATAGTTGAATTAATCAGCCTTTATGTTTGTTTTTCTATCCTTCGAAGGTTCTATATATGTGCGATATCTATTTATTCACTTGTTTTTCACTTATACTAGTCTGAATCTGATGGGCTCTCAAGATTTCATGGGAGTTCATCTATTTCGAGTGATGATTATTTTGGTCATCCTAAAGTGCGACAGTCTCAGGTATCTAATGAATTACAAAATATCAAAGATGGTGTCAAGCAAAGTGTTACTAAAGTTGCTGGACGGCTGTCAAATCTGGCAACTGACGTAGTACACACTCTTCAAGTAAGTTCAGTTAGATAAATACTGATTATTAGATGTGTTTTGACTATTTTTTGAAAAGTATGATCGATTGAATACTCCTCAAAGTACTGCACACATTTTTCATTAACGTTTTTGATGACAAAAATTGACGATTATACGCTAAGACTGAACCGTGTGGAATAGTTTTGAATCGTTTCTCAATATTGTCCGCCGTTGGAAGTAACGCGATCGGAATAGTTGATTGCTAATAAATAATCCTTTCCATCTCATAGATATTGAACCCAGTTCCAAACGAACTGTTTGGTTGTTCGATGGTAATTTTACTGAGGTGTTTAATCAAAGATACTACTCTGTTTTTCTACTACTAAAGAATGCAATAATTCTACGTATTATATATCAGTCTGTTCATTTATTCATCACAGTTTACTGTTGTGGAAATACGAATGCATTTGAATTGTTTCCCTCAAGAAGTAATATCTACACGAGTTATTGATCTCACTAACAGTTGTTTGTACTCTCATGATGGCTCTATATCTGTTACCTGAGGACTAATAATACCATATGATTTTTCAGGCTCGTCTCTTTGAATCACTTCCACAACTGTTGTAGAGATTAGTAAACTGGTACGTGTAACTGTTTACCTAGTTGAGACCAAAATGCGAAATGTTTATTAAAATTGACATTTAAACAAAACAGGCTACCTAAATCAATAAAGAAAGTATTCATGACGAACAGATTTGTCATTGAATGGTTTTGGTTAGCGAGTCCGCACCAAATTATTTTAGTGATAAGAGACATTGTCATATAATTTCCATCGTAAACTGATCGAGACTTCTGACCAACGAAATGATAATAGTCTGAAAGGCTTACAAATAAATGGTCAAAGTTTGGCGGTTAAATTGAATAGTAATCAAAGTAGCAGCCTGATGAGGTAAACTATACAATAAGACACAGCTATCACGTCGCTCACTAACAGCCCTCAAAGTACCATGGATTTCGAAAGTAGAAATGTGATAGTACTTTACTTTCTTGGACATTTCATGAAACAGTCTAGCACTTAAAAGGAGGCCAGCCAAATAAATATTTTAAGGTTGGCTACTGTCTATGATGTAATCGTTCAAGTTGATATCCACCCGTTTTGAGAGCTTTTGACCCAAAGTCCCTTTCATTGGTTATTCCAACCTTGGTATGTGAAGCAACTTTTGAAGCCGTAATCCACTTTCTGTCAGATTACCAACTCATTGCTTCCCAATTGATGCCGAGTGTTTGTTTTTATTATTCCTCTTTTACAAGCACATATTTTATTATCGCTTAAAATTTGTATATTTACATTTGGGTGCATTTTTTCAGGATCGATTCGGTTAGTTGCTTCCAGCTTTTTAATGCTTTCAGTCAGCTTGTGGGCCTTTCAGTCAATATTCTGGTTTAGATGCCAATCTTCTCTTCGTTTTCGGCCACGATCGGGGTTCAGGACATTCCTTTTTTCCGGTTATCTATTATTAAAGCTTTTGTTATCTTTTGTTTTATTCATCTCTCCAGAGATAATAAGTTAGTTAATCCTAGTTGACTGTAAGAGCCATTTTGTTTAGTGGATGATATAAATCGAAGTTTTGTAAAACATATTTTTGGTTGTAAACACCAAGTAAACCATAGTTTCTGGGGTGATTGTTGTCTTGAAATGCCTCCTATTATTGACGGAAATTATTATAACGTGATTGCTTTATTCATGTGAATCGCTCTCCTTTTCGTATGTATCGAATAATCTATACACCAATGTTTCTAGCATGATTATCGCAACATCTGTGGATAGGAAAAACATAAACAAAGAAATTGACGGATTAATATTGATATATTTGACCTTATTATTGACACTTTCATAACACATATTGATATGAGTAATGTTTCGTCCTGGTATATGACTCGAGTGCGTGTCTACAATCCTACCAAGGATCAAATCTAGAAAATAAAAAATACAGTAGCATATACCATTAGTTAAAGATATGTCCTCCAATGGTAATCTTGACATACTAAGAAGTCTTTGTGTTTAATAAAGAACGTTCGTGTGTAGAGCGGTGAAAATTGTCCGGAAGATTTTGTGATGTTCTACGTTTCTTTCAGTCCTATAGGACTGATATTTTGTTGATCATAAATATTGGCTATCTACATGCAAGTTCTATGAAATGTATCAGAGGAACTACTCATCTGTTGAGTATACAAATGTCATTACTAAGCTCGTATTGATGAATTATTACTGTGCTGAAGGTCCTCACGAAACTGGATGTAATTCAAAATATTTAATGGGGGAGAGGTATCAACATGAGCATTGTCAACATTTAGGGACAAATGCTTAAATGTAAAAACGATGTTATGGGTTTCACAGATCATGTGATTCGTAACTAATGTTATTTCACTTGTAGGTATCATTACCAAGGTTTGACCTGATAATTTCGAATAAATTGAGTATTAGATACTTTGTTATAAATAAATTAATATTTTTAATGTCCCAATGAGAAGAAAAATTAGATTTTCTGACATTTCCTGACTCAGTGTAAGCCAAATATATTAATTTATAATATTATTGCACTGTTTGGCTGATTATGACTTCTTTTGATCTTACGGTCTTAGGTCTTCCTTTTTTATTGTGAAACTAGACTTACGGTTTTGTACATATGATAGCTAAGCCGTTTCACCGATAATTTCTACCTTGGATTAGACAATATATTATGAATTAGAAAACACATTTAAGGCGGTGGTAAAAAAAGTTACCAGTTTTCAGTTAACGAACGAACCCTAACCATTCCTGTCAGATAATTCGAACGATATTTGGAGAATTACAGCACTAAACACCATCATCGGGTACTACTAACACAAGGTACATGTTCTGATTGTTTTATTCACGAAATAGTGCTCCCAACTGAACTACAACTTTTGATCCAATTCGTTTCGTTAACGAACTCACCAAATATGATAGTTTAAATATAACCGTTTTGCTGCTATTTATTGTGATTGAATGATAATTTTTTTAATATTACTTGATTAAAGGTACGTATTGTAGCCTTGAATTGTTCACTTGAAAACCTGGAAGTACTAAACGGCCGTTTCGTCCTAGTATGGTCGCGCAAGATCATGGACCGATTCAAGCTAGACAATAACACCGTTGAATGCGTGCTCATTGTTCTAGAGGTTACGCGGGATCGTGGATCCGCTCTGCTGATGAGTCCCATACTTGGACGAGACGGACGTCCAGGTTTTCAGTGGTGGTTTAACATTGATCGGTTCATGATCCCAATGAAAATATAGCTCACATTGTAAGCTTCAGCTTCACCTTGTATACCCTTAAGTTCATGGGAGTTTTATTATTTATTTGATTAGACACATTCTCTTAAACCTGTAAAGATAACAGAAAGAACTAGCTTAACGCTGAAACAATTCATTACTTATAAATAAATTAGTACAGCTTTATTTAGAACGGATTGAGTGATTTTTCAATAGAATGTTATCTTTCTACTTATTGGGCTTGCATAAATATTGCTTCTTCTTTTATAATCGGTACAGTTTTTCAAATGGTAACCAGAATTTTCGGCATAAAGCTGTCATTGATACAAAGGTATTGTTTTTAGAATTCTTATTTGTAAATAAAAGAATTTCTTTCGATCGGCCATGTAAGCTCTGAAACGAAAAAGAAACACGTCGACTTTTATAATTGTATACTAACGATCATTGACTACGTAAAACTACCTGACAAGTTGGGGAGCTTTGATGTGAATGGTTTCCTTTTGTAATATTTCGTCCAGTCATACTCTGTCAATGTTGTTGACATGGAAATTTAGGTCTTATTGTTAGCTGAATGAAAAGCCTCTAATCCCTCAAATAATATCGTAGAATATGCTTCGGGAAATTCGCCTAATATATATGATCTTCGAAGTATATTATCTTGAAGTAGTTTTATCATAAAATATATTTCATCTTGTATTAATACGTCGCTTTAAAATTATCTTCTGAACCTTTTGGGAACAAGAATGACTGACTGATATTCCTGAGGAGTTTTGCTTCATTTTTTCCTTGGTGATGTGTGCTTCCATTCATCTGCACCGTTTCTCATATAGTTCTACTTCCGTAAAGTCTTATTACAATTGATAGACTTAAGCGTTACTTTCAAATCTTTTACTAAACACAGAAAACCGGGATATGTTAGTGTAACCGACTACACATTCGTTATTAAATTAAATATCTCACCAGATAAGGACTAAATAAGAAATATTGATGGTGATGGTTATAAACTGAACCACTTCTCTCAAAAGTCGGTTCCAGATTATCTGCAGATGTTTCTACGTGACCTGCTAATAAACGTATACACTTTACACGAGTTGTATAGAATTAGGCTTTTGTGTCTCCAGCTAAGAAAACTACTTGCAACAGATAGGAAAATTCTTTTTAATAACTATTTGAGGAAATTACCACATACGATAATGTTGCAAGATAAATGAACGTTAACTGCTATTACGAAAATAAAGCATTTCTCATTAATTTTGTATCAAAATAAGGATGGTAAGATTGTTATTTGGATTGATGTCAGGATTGATTATCATAAAATCACACTTCCTACAACATAGCATAAAAATTTACATTTACCCGATTGTGATGAGGTTTCATATGGAATGTCATAGAGTTTCATGTATTCTTTTAATGGTATTATGCCTTCGTAACAAGATATGTCCGCAAAATATCCAACTGCAACTAAATATAAAATTCACTCGTTATAATCTCTTTAAAGCTGTAAGTAACCACAAATATTTAAGAGATGGAGAGTCGAAAACTCGCTTAATTTCGTAACAAGAAATTATAGTATCATGAATCAAGTACATAATGTTGATTTGGTCGGTAAATTGGTCCTTATAATCGGATTGATGCAGTTTTATATGTAGTATAAACATCAATTAAAATTAACCAGAAGAAAATAACTGAACATACTGATAGTGTTTCCTAGAAAGGAAGGAAATCATTTTCCAGCTGCGGTACACTCACGAACTTTATACTTCCACCGCTCCTAAAATCTGTAAATGACAACCTCTTTTCATGTGCAAATTGTTTTTCAATAAATGTCTTCAACCGATCCAATACTAAACTTCTAACTCAATTATATTAGGCGCTTGTTGCAACATTATGCACAGCGTTTAGAAGTTTAAATTAGTTTATTTGGTTGCGTCAATTTGGCTTCTTACAATACGTTTGTTTATTTGTAATGAATGAATGACTCTTCATATGTTCATTTTACTTCTTTAAGGGGGAAAATGTGACCATGTACAATTAGATGCCTTTCCTTTTATCCCACAGCACTCTCGAAGCTTTGGCGAAACTAGCTTTGATCTGATTCACCAAAGTTTGTTTGAGCAGTATAATCCATAGGATATGAAATGCGTATTGTAAAATCGAATTAACTGCAAGTACAGTTGAGTAAGAACTTTACTTGATTATTAATCGAATCGCACAGCAATATGTATATATGTACACACTTTTGGAGTAATTTTCATGCTCCAGTGATGAACAAACTACTGACCTTGATATGCGACTTTTGCACATAAATTGTTTCAAAATAACCAACTTACCTTGTTGTGGAATCAGCTCTGGGCGTACTTGACGAATATTATTCAATATTCCAGTTAACTTCCGCTAAAAATGTAAAAACTACGTGTTTTAATTTTTTCGGAGTCGCAAATGTCATTAACAACGATACCATTCATACTACTCATATAACCAAGAGTTTAGCGTTTGATTTAGTTTAACCGACAAATTTTAAAATATAACGTACTTCTCTTGCGACTACGTACGTTTACTTTAAACGTAACTAAAAATACAGTCCTATCACACTTCTAGGTTGACGCCAATTTTGTCTGGTTTATATTTGTGGTACTTCATATAGAGCTATCTTATTTTTCTTTTTGTAAAGGCTTATCTACATCTAACTATCTTTACTTAGGTCTCTGAAACCAACACAAAACTTTCCTGCATAGTTAAGCTCAAGTATTTTAAAATACCAATGTGGGGTTGTGTCTTTAAGGGTTCTTGAGTTCAGGTGGAACTATGGCTTAGTGATTGAACCACTGAGCTCCCAACCTGTAAGTGGTAGGTTCGAGCCCAAACCCACTGAATTCATTTTAGGTAGTTGAATAGCAACAGCGCACACAAACAGTATAGCATATATTCGAGTACACAAGCGTGTTCTTGGCAGATAGGACACAACGGACCAGCTTCTTATTTTTCAGTAATCCGAGTGCCTTAATCTAACAGATATTATGATGAAGTTTTATCATCTTGACAGTAAGTAAAAATCAATAGCATTTCATTCATATAAAGTTACGACGCTAAGTATATATATATGGTTTCACAACTCATCCATACTACGTAGATATTTTATTTCGTAAACCCAACAAAAGATTAGGACAGAGAAATTAATGAATTTGCCACTGTAAAGATACTGATAGTTCCGTTTTATACATTTTGTGTGGACTCAATATACTCTTCATGCCGTTAATTGCATTACGTTGAAAAAATCTGGTTCATTATCACATGTAATCGAAATCAAAATATATGAACTGCTACCCCATCATCTATTCAAGTTTGTAAAGGTACTGGGTTCGAGTCTTGGAGTGAACATCAACTCGGATGCAGGTAGATTCAGCTGACGAGTTCTAAATGAGACGAGACACGTGTCCTCAACTCCAACATCCATCTCTGCTTACAATGCTTATGGCGATATCGAGGCAATCCGCACAGGATGCACATGTAACAATAAGAGACTTATTAATTGCAGTTCTAAACATCAGTGGGAACATCCGAACAACCAATACACAAATGAACTACTCCTTTTAATATTACTTACATTGGTACATACCTTGAAATGACCAACAATCTGACTCTTAGTTTTCTCTGTTAAACTTACTTTAAAAGTTTCGGGAACGTATTCGTCTTGATCCTGTGATAAAAAAGAAATAGAAGTCTTTTGATAAATGCTTTCAACAGTTGAAAAATAGCATACTGATAAATGCGACAATGTCATTGTCGAACATTGTTAAAAAAGGTTGGAGATAATCGTTTATGACAGATTTTCTAACTCTACTAAAAATACATTAATTAGTTTTCACCAAATTAAATAACATAATACAAGAATTCTTCCTGTTATGGAGAGTAATATGTAAATCCAATAGGCCTTCATTTGATAGGTTAATAATTGACCTACGAAATACGAGTTTCATAATCAATTATGCTCTTAATAAATTTCGATGATGTTCGCTTTGCAGAAAAGATTACTGAAGTGCGTAACTTTGTCACGTAACACGGCTAGTGCTTTGATGACTGTTATTGTCTTACGAGGCTTGGCCTTTGAGATATTCCATCTGTAATGATGGTTTTGTGAGGGACCATTTCTAGGCCGTATTAATGTTATGAAGTTGAGGGATCAGACAGTGCAACTCAAGTAAATTATTTTTCATTATAACAGTTTAGGAAAAATGAGTGACCACATTTCGCATAATCTTAAATCCATTAAAATCCCGAAATTTTCGCAAATTCCAATTTATTTTTGCATGCACTTCTTAACTATGTATTGTTTTTAGACTGTCCATAAAACTAATAAATGCATGGGCTTTTGGTCTTTGAACCGCTTAGTAGTTGCGACACAAGAGTTAAACAATTTATGTTTAGAACCTGCGTGAAAGAAAACAAAAATTAATTACAACACAAAAGTATTTGAATATAACATGTAAAACCTCACTTTTTATCTAAACAGATACCAAGTTTACTTTAAGTTGGTTGTCAGCTCTTTACTCTAGTAAGTTTACCGAAAGTTTCAATGTAATGGAAATCCATGTGTTTCATGGACATATATTCGATAGGGACTTCTCTAAGTAATGGAAACCATCGGGATCTCGTTCGTTAAACTGTCTAGTTTATCACTGTTCTAAGTTCATTTCAGCACTTACACGTGGTCAAAAGCTATATTTGTAGTTTTACATCTATGTGTTAATTTGTTGTCTTATGTACAAATAAATTTAAATCTACTTTCCACATAATCACAATAAATAATCCAGTAAGTGCAAAAAGACATCTATTAGTACTTTCATATCTGCTGTTGTCATTCAGCTGGCTAATGTCAAACCCTTTCTATTGTTTAAGAGCATAGGATACAGGTTGAACCAAGACTGTGTATCGCTCAGTTCTCCTTGTTAATTTACTTTATGATCACTACATCCTCACTTTTCCAAATATATGTAATCGTTCAGATTTTACTAACTCTACATAGAAACATCTCAATACAAAGTATCAATGGTGAGATTATAGTATTATATCATACATTACTCCACCCAGGGGATTGGATGAAAAATTCGAGTTACATTTTTGAGTTTAATCTATGATTACTTCAACTAGCCTTTAAATGACAGGTGGGAAACAAAAACAATGACGTTTTCAATAGTTAGGAATGCTGATTCATTATCGAGTAATAGACTGATTGGTGTAATTTTCTTATTGTTGGGACCCACATACATCAATCTACCGGGTCCTTAGTAGGTCAATAATGGCGTCTTAGATTCGATTACCAGACACTAACTTTAATATGCTGTTACAAAAATTACCTAATTAGGGTTGTGTGTTCCATTTTGATTAAATATTGACACAAACTGTATGAACTCTACTTTAGGTGGACTTTGCACATTGTATGCAGGTAAACTCACTACTCGTCTGCAGGTATCTTTTGAGATTTAAAATACCATAGGTGGGAATGCTCGCTCTAAGTTTGTTTAAAACGTCAAGTATTTACTTTTGTTGGAAGTGGTTTCTTCGTTAAGTTGCATCGTACAATTTATTAAGAACATATTTTAACTGTCTACATTTGGTTTTTTAAGTGTTCAAACTCTGTTCTTAAAAATTTCCTCTACTAGAAGCACATCGAATGTTATAGAATTTCAATGATAAGAGAAG